CCGGAGCGGCTTCCGATTAGAAGTTCAGCTTAAGTTGGATTTCTCATTGACTCTGGTTTTGTAGTTAAGGAGGGAACAGACTCGGGAGAGGGGGAAATAATCTTAATTTTCTGAGCATCTTCTCACTTCCTTTCTTCAGAACTGTTTTCCCATCTTGTGCTGGGATTTCTTTAGCCTTTAGAAAATCGGGTAAAGGTCTGGCTGCTTCTTATGCTATAGTAAGGTAAAATGCAGTAGTTCATTGGAGATCCTCGCTCTGTGGATGCCCGTAGGATCAGAGGTTCAAAAGGTTGCCTTCCTAGGTGGTAGGCACCATATGGTTCTTAGAAAAATACTTGTCATTCTGTTTCTTGTGCAGCTGGAGGATCTTGTTCCATCACAACCTGCTGCCACCAAAGCAGTCCTAACGAGTGCTCCTCTCCCTTTTCAGGTATGGCCTCACAGCTGCAGGTGTTCTCCCCTCCGTCAGTATCCTCGAGTGCCTTCTGCAGTGCCAAGAAACTGAAAGTGGAGCCCTCTGTCTGGGATGTTTCAGGACAGAGCAGTAGTGACAAGTATTATACCCACAGCAAAAACCTCCCAGCAGCTCAAGGGCAAGCAAGCTCCTCTCATCAGGTAGCCAATTTCAGCATCCCTGCGTACGATCAGAACCTCCTTCTCCCTGCTCCTTCAGTTGAGCACATCGTGGTTACAGCAGCCGACAGCACAGGCAGCAGCGCAACAGCGTCCTTCCAGAACAGCCAGACCATAACGCATAGGAGCAACGTTTCTTTACTGGAACCATACCAAAAATGTGGATTAAAAAGGAAAAGTGAAGAGGTTGACAGCAACGGTAGCGTGCAGATAATTGAGGAACATCCACCTCTCATGCTGCAAAACAGACCTGCGGTGGGTGCTGCGGCCACGACCACCACTGTAACCACGAAAAGCAGCAGTTCCAGTGGTGAAGGAGATTATCAGCTGGTCCAGCATGAGATCCTGTGCTCTATGACAAACAGCTACGAGGTCTTGGAATTCCTGGGCCGAGGGACGTTTGGGCAGGTGGCGAAATGCTGGAAACGTAGCACGAAGGAGATTGTAGCCATCAAAATCCTGAAGAACCATCCTTCCTACGCTAGGCAGGGCCAGATAGAGGTGAGCATCCTCTCTCGCTTGAGCAGTGAGAATGCTGACGAATATAACTTTGTTCGCTCCTATGAGTGCTTTCAACACAAGAATCATACATGCCTTGTATTTGAGATGCTAGAACAGAACTTATACGACTTCTTAAAGCAAAATAAGTTCAGCCCGTTGCCCCTGAAATACATCCGGCCAATTCTGCAGCAAGTGGCTACTGCCTTGATGAAGTTAAAGAGCTTGGGACTGATACACGCTGATTTGAAACCAGAAAACATCATGTTGGTGGATCCTGCGCGCCAGCCCTACAGAGTGAAGGTGATAGACTTTGGTTCAGCCAGCCACGTGTCTAAAGCAGTGTGCTCCACTTATTTGCAGTCACGCTATTACAGGTAAGTACCGACACAATGCTCACTTTCATACGCTGCGTGAGCAAAGAAAAGCTGATGTGGTCCTAGGGGTTTGCTTCTACAGATACTTAACTCTTCTGCCATTAGATCTAATCCCAGTTGAGGGGGAGGAGGAGATGATCAGCCTGTCCACTGTTCTGCAGGTTTTCTGGAGATTTCTTCTGAAATTTGTGTGTAAATAAATAGAACTTCTGCTTTGCAAATGTGACGTAATATGCAGTCCAGTACCTCCCTTTTACCCCAGATTAGGGCATAAGTTGATTTTACCCTGTTGCTAGTTTGTGACGATGCATGAAGTAGCAAACTGGGGAAGCAGTATGCTACCAGTAAGTAGTGCATTTTGGCTTGCTTGCCTGGTCTGAAACTAGTCTGTTACCTGTGGACATTTAGAAGGGAGAGAAGTCAAAGAGACGCTGGTTTCTTTTAATCCTGTTTCTTCTGGTTCCATCTTTGTCTGAACCCACTTCATGAGCACATGACTTCTTGTGTTGGCCCTTGATAAGTCACATTTTCATGAGACCTGTAGCTCTTTTAAAACGGCGATGAGCTAGGTGTCTGCTTCCCTTAGCAAAATGTAGAAATGGCTTCTACCCTACTCCTGTCTAAGAGTTAGAAATAAACTATGGGCAAAAATGTTAAAACTCAGAAAATGTGTGGCTAAAGCAAGCTGTGCTTTTTCCTTCAATTATTCCTCCAGCTTGGTTCTGTTAATAGTGTGTATTTCAATATAAGTAGCAGTAGACGTCAATAAATGGACGCAGAAAGAACTTCTGGCATCAAAGGGACATGAGAACGTCTGTGCCGTGTTGTCAGGGTTGCTTTCAGTGGAATGCGAGCTCACTTGACGCAAAACTTAACTAGTATCTAGTCCTTCCAGCTGGGACGAGACAGAGGACTTGAGACACTCCACCCCACCCTGTGTCTCTGCCCTGTTTGATGTCTTTCCCGTCCTCCTAGCTTCAGTTTAAAGCCCTGGCTTGTTGTAGGCTTGTTCTGTTTGTTCCTCATACTCCCTGTATCCTTGCCCCATTTGTTTGGTTTGGTTTTGGTTTTTTTTTTACTCCCTCTGACACCAAGTACCAGCTTTCTGTGCCATTTCTTTCATGTGATACAGACTTTTCTTAATCCATTTCTCATGATCTTCGCTCGGCTTGTTGGCACCAATCTTTCCAATTCTAAACTTTTGACTGTTATTTTTTGTAATGCAGTTGTCTTCTATGCGCCATAGCTCTGTTAAAATGCTCGCTGTCTGAAATGCATTATCAATTTTGTTGTTGTTGCATTGAAAGAGGCGACCACTGATCGAGAATCTGCTCTATCTGACTTACAACACGTGTCAGCAAAGCAGTTTGGGGAGGCATACAGTGCTTTCCAGTTTCTGATATCGCAAAAACCAGATTTGGCTGAGGCAAAAGCAGCAGGAGATGATAAGTATCTTAAAGGGGCTACTGGGAAGGAAGCTGCCTGCTTCATCTTTGTGTGCGGCACTGCACTCCGAGCCACTTCCGCCTCCATGGCAAAGGGTGACTGACGCTGCCAGGAAGGCAAATAACCTGAGATTAGATGGTGTTTAAGACTGTCTGCTCGACTGAAGTTAAGAATGCTGTGATGTGGAAATCTAATATTTAGGGATATGTAATTAGTTTAATGGTGATGATTACTAAAATCCATAATTTAGGAACTTACGGAGATGGTGTAGAAACAAACTTATAGTGGGAGAACTGGATTGCTTTAACCATATTCACATTAAATTAGTGTTCAGATGAGTTTTAAGTTGGAAATTTTTTCAGTGCTGTTTAATAAAACATTGGTTCATTTTATTCTCTGTCAGCTATTAAAAATAAACTTCTCGTTCTGTATTCACTTTTTTGTTTTTGATACCTGTTGCTGGCACTTATGTAACCTCTGTCTCCTGCAGAGACATCTAAACCAGCCAAACGCGGGTACTGTAAGGTGGATTTTTGGATATATATACCCTGAAGTATAAAAAAAAAAAACCAAACCTTTCCTCTATTAATTGTGCTCAGTGTTGCTGGAGGTCATCTTGTCTAACAGCCCTGCTCACTCCGGGTTCTGGTTGTACTTCTGGCAGTTGGACAGCTTGCATCGGTCTCGATGACACTGCTGGAGCCATACATCCAGTTGGGATGTAGGTTTGGGTTTGTTGGGGCAAGCGTGTCAAGGCTGAGGCAGGTTCCCTCTCTCCGCAGGCATTACTGCTGCCTCTGCAGCCTGACCCCAGCCAAGAAAGGCGGTTTTACTGCCATGAGATGGTTGACTTAAAGTGTGAGTAGAAGTGCCCATGAAGAATTGTTTGGCTCTGAAGCCAGGCATGGACTAGGAGTAGGCTAACTCTGGCAGTCATGCTTTTATACAGTGACTAGTTTCTATGGCAGTCCTGAGATCTATTGGTAATTCCTGACCTGAAAACCAGAGTATATACTTGTTACATCAGGTGCAGAAAGGTATGGATGCTTTTGTCCTCCCTGGGGAAGGTAAACAATAGAAGGAAGTAGACAGCTTGCAGAAATGAAAAATCCCTGGGAAGACTGATCTCCCTGCTGTTCAGAGAGTGAGGTTCGCTCGTGTCCTATGTTATATGTAAGTACAGCCATCGTGTGAGTCTTACTCAGATCCCTTCCTCCTGACGTTTCCTGTGGGCCAGTGTAGAGGTGCCTAGCAGACTGAAGATACTAAGCTGAAGGACTGAACAATTTGGGCCAGGAGAAGGTGGCACAGTGTTGAGGGAGCCTGTGGAGTGCAGTAGTATCTGGTTCTTACCTCTGCTCTGGACTAGATGACCTACTTCTGTCCCAGTCATGTTGGCCCGGGAAGCAGCAGTGCATGCTGCCAAATGTAGCTCTCTGCTTGCTAATCCAGCTCTGAGTGGTGATCACGTTATTTACTGCATTGCTCCTTGTGGTTGTACAAGCTTTGTGTTACCATCATTCCTCGCAAGGGGGAGGGCTGAAGACCCATGTGTAAACACGGTGTGTTTTGAAATGCTAGAAGTAAGTCTCGGATTCTTCCACTACTGCTGTGAATCCTGTCTCTTCTGAGACTGCCTGAGCATATTTGCCAACTGGAAGTCAGAGTTTGGCAAGTGTGTATGCAAAGAAAGAATGTTGTTGATTTCTATTTTGAAGAGCTTAAGATCATAAAATCACTTTAATCTCTGACAGACCAGCTATGAAAGTGACCTCTCCCTGTTGTCCTGTTTCAGCTGACATCTTGTAAGGCCGCCAATTATAGTGATATTAAAGGACATGAGATTCTGATTTACCAGCTCTGTCCTGCAATCAAAATGTAATCGGGGGGGCTTGTGAGAATTCGGGGAATAAAATGCATAGAGTTCAACTTGCTATCATTTTGGTATTAAGATTTTGGAATATCTACATCTATTCCAGCATGTAGTTGAAGACTAACAAGCTATCGCATCCAGCCTTTGTTGCCAATAATCTTGCTTTCCATTGGAATTGGTGAGATTTTTTTTAACGCACGTGTGAAGGATTAGCACGCTTTGCTTATTCCATAAGCCACTTATATTTTACTTTGTTTGCCAGTCCAAACCAAAGAAACTTATGCATGCAGCATTTCTTATATGACAGGTTTGGGTCCTATCTGAATTGGAAATTCCTGCATAAGTAGGCTAATCAAGAGGATCAATACAGTTTGGTGATGATGACTAGTAGCCTAATGGCACACAAGTTCTGAAAGTCTTGGGTGAATGGCTGCATCAAAGTACTACAGAAATGGATTCCCCTACTTTGCACCTGTAAGCCTATAGAAAGTTGGATGTGTTCTAGCATAGTTCTTTAAAATACACGTTTTTAGCAGGACATTCAGCGTTCACATATCAGATACTTATGATATTTGCATAATCATTATATATTTTCACATATGCCAAACCATTCCAAAGGCGACTGCTGCCAGGGACAGACAAACAAGAACGTAGAAACAGATCAGTGTCGAGCAGAATGAGCGTCAGAACGTCTTAGCTTAAATAATATGTTCTTCTGATTACTAAAGGTGTATCACGGCTCTGTTTTTGGGGGGCTCAGGCTTAATAGAAGAACCTCCTTGCTTTAAAGCTGAACAATAGAGAGTAGGTATGACCTCACTGCAGCAAGCAGCTGGTTCAGCTATCTGTCTTTTTTGATAGATCTTGTGCTTTCTCAGGGGCACTGGGCCTGGGCAACTGGGATGAGTGCATTTGTTTTGGAGACTGGCTAATGGCAATTGGCCTAAAACAAAAGCTGTGTCTGTGTCACCGTGACACTAAAGGGTGATTAATTGGAGTGTCACTTCTTGCTATGTACAAACATTTGGGAGGTACGTTCAGGATGAACAGTTGAAGAAGGTGTCAGATCTATTGACACCTGTACGTTATGCAAGCCTTGTTTTTTAGAATTCTGTAGAAAGATCAGAACTGGTTTCAGAGCCTTTTTTAACAACAGAAATATCCACACACTGTGACACACGAAATGTCACGCAAGCCCTGGGGCATGCTGCCCGAGTCACAACCAGAAAATAGATAGCCTGGAGTTTAGGGCTTTTCTGTCTTCCTTTGTGCTTGTGTTAGTTATGCATGAAGATGATCAAGGTTTTTGTGTTTCCTGTACTTTCCAGAGTAAATTCCCACACCATCTCACATGGTTTTTGCAGCACTTGGGTTTTATGCTGTATGCAAATGTATGACCAGAATTTAGCCTGACAGAACAGCATCAGTTTGTTTCAGAACTGTGTGTAGGTGAAGAGTTGTACTAAACCATCCTTTTAGTGTTATGAGTCAGTTCCAGACAGAAATCTCCCTGAAATTCCAACCTGTTGCAGAAGCAAACCCTGCTTGGAGTTTGAGCTTTTTTCATCACCTTCTCGTAAAGGCTAGGCCAGACAGGTAAATTTTGCATTAGGTGTGGTTCAGTGCACAGAAACCTGTAACACAACCTTGCAAAGCAGTCACAATCTCCAGCTGCGTTCTCTCAATCCATTTTAAACTCGAAACTCTCCAAACAAACCCTGTATGAAAACCCACTGATGGAAACCGAGCAGCTCTCTGAAGAGCTCCTTTTTCTGGTTCTGCAGATGCTGTTCTTTTCCACGTGAAAGCAGGCAGCCTTCTGCAGCAGGTGACCTGGGATCTCGAGACCTGCTTCCGAGAAAAGTCTGAGCACCATTTGCCAGGACTTTTCTTCCCAATTCTGTTAGGGTAGGTTGTGTGCTGTCTCAGGGATGCCTCACACCATACATACTGTCTGGTGTAATTAAACTGGTTACTGAAGGAGTAACTTCATGTTGCAGTTGCATAAAAGCCACCTAGGAGTTGGAGGGCACCACGGCAATAAAAGGAACCCAGCCGTACCACTGCATGATAAAAAGGTTAGGATCTATTAGGCCACTTGAGGAAACATCTTCTGCTTTGAAGTCTATCACTTTGTTTCACACAGATTTACTTGTGCTTGGAGGAGAGAAGGAGGGACGTTATCCAGAGCAATTTATAAGAAAGAACTGCATGCTTTCAGAGTCGAAGATTTTACTTTTTTCTTTTTTTCTTTTTTTTTTTTCCCCCCCAACAGAGCTCCTGAAATCATACTGGGTTTACCATTCTGTGAAGCTATTGACATGTGGTCGCTGGGCTGTGTGATAGCTGAGCTGTTTCTAGGCTGGCCGCTGTATCCAGGAGCATCTGAGTATGATCAGGTGAGAGTGGGTGGCGGATGCGGGGATGTTCAAATGAAACAACAACCATCCGTGTCCGGACCCTCTGAACCCAGTGTATCCTATGTCAAATTTTATCCAGCACAAATCGCTGCTGTTTGCCATCTTAAGTTCACTTTCACCCTGTGATATTCCCACTGCCTGTCTCGGTGGTTGTACAGGAGAGCACGGAGTTCTGTCTGTTTTTTTTAGTTTAATGTAGTTATCCAATACATAAAGTCAATTTACAGTTAACCTCCTGACTTCCAAGCCCAAAAGCTGTTGAAATACCTTCCTGCCAAACAGAAGTGAGGTGTGTGTGCTGACTTAAAACGCCCTCTGTAATTTCACCATGAGGGCAGTTTTTCCATGTGGAGACAGAGCAAACCTATCATTCCTGTCCTGTTAATACCTACAGCAGCCCTCATTTTCCATGCAAAGTGGGAGCCCCAAGCTGTCTCTGAAATGCAAGGGCAAGAGTCTGAAAAGGCATCTTGGACTAATTAGTTCTTTCCGTGGATACTTTGCATTATTACCTGGACTAGTCAGTTGCCTGTAAAAGGGCAAGAAGTCTAGATGAGAGGTTTTTTATGAGAGTGACTTTTCCATTGTGGTTTTTATGGTGGTATCTTGTTACAGTGCTTGGTATAGTTTTCCTTATGTGATAAAATACATGAAAACTTACTAAGTTTGAAAACTTACTTGTGTTATCTCTTCCCAGCGCTGTGAATTTCCAAAGGAAACACAGTGGTACCTTAATGAGCAGAATGAGTTAGAAAATAGCTGAGGTATATAGCATGGTGGTTTCCTTGCACACTGAGTTTGGTGTAATTCTGAGAACCTTATCTAGTCATGTAGGTGGGTGGGGAGGAGGTGCTTTTTCCATTGCTTAATAGACAGGATTTTGCAGTCCTTTGTGAGGCAGCATGAGGTGTGATGTCATGTGGTTGATTTTGATATCCGAATTGCCCTTGAAAACTAGGGATGACTTGCTTTCGTGTTTTCTGAGATCCTGCAGCAGCAAGTAAAAGCTCAGGCAGAATTTGCACGAGGACCTCTCCAGGAATGACTTCACGAGTTGGGATGGGATTTACAATTATTTTTGAAACACCCTTTGGCTGTAAAGCAAGAGTTACGTGTCATAAAAATAGCAGAACTCTTAACTGAACTATTGTGTAGATACAAAAAGTGCTCACCTGCAGACACTTCAGATCCTCACTGGCATGAATGAAAAGTGAGTCAATAACTTCACATGGATCACAAGCTGTAACAGTGAGTTCAGTGCCCTGCAGTTTCAGCTGGTTTGGCACAGTGGAATAGCAGCAGTTTTGCAAATAAGAAATAAGACATGCTAAAGCACCTATAAGTGATAATTCCAATAAAGCCTAGTTACCTTAACACTGGGTTTCCAGTCATCATTTCATAAATCAGACTTAGCAGGGGTTTTTTTTCTTAAACTTTTAAATAGACTCCATTGAGGGCAGAGTCAAGAGAAAGATGATGTCACATTTCTCACCATACATCTTGAGCACAAGTAGCATTAGCAGTTGGGCAGCATTTGGAATATTTTTTAAAAACTTATTATTGTGTTTTTTCATAACTTGCTATGTTCTTTTGAGCATACCTTTTTATTTGTTAGCCCTTTACCAGTGTCGTATCGATACCGTCACAAGTATTCAGGTGCATTTTCCAAAATTCTGAGCCATTTTTTTGTTACATTTGAAGTTTATTAAAAGTTTTTGAGGATGTAAGAATCTGAATGTACTAGAGGTTTGGTCTTGCTTTCTTGGTCAGTGAGAGCTTTGCTGTGACGTTATTCTCAAATGATGTGCCTAGAGTATACGTAGCCAGTCACAGCAATGTTGCTTGGATACTTATGCCCTTAATTATATATACATATATGATAATTTCTGTGGTATTTTTCTCTCAAAATGTATACTACTTACACTGCTGATATTAAAGACTATTGGTGTTGCTTTAACCATGTCTCAAAAGCTTACAGTCTGCTCATGCATACTTGGGCAAAAAATATTTCTATAAAATAAGAAAGATGTATTTTAAAGCTAAAATTTCTGCAGATGATATGATAAAGTTAAATGTCCTTATAAATATTTGAGATAGTCCCTTTAGTTTTGCAGTTATCTGGACATTCTTTATTTACTGATTATTTCCTGTTTGCTGTGAATGAACCTGGCTGATAATTACTCCATTAGCTATGAGTTCTTTATATTGGGAGTCCTCATTCTTTTCATTTTCTTTCCTAGATTCGTTATATTTCACAAACTCAAGGCCTTCCAGCGGAGTATCTTCTCAGTGCGGGAACGAAAACAAGCAGGTTTTTTAACAGAGATCCAAATTTGGGATACCCACTGTGGAGGCTAAAGGTTTGTCTGTCTTTTTAATTCCCAATTCTGTTTTGTTTGTTGAGGACTTGATATAAATTCACGCCTAGTTTTAGTGTGCTGTGAAAACATTCTGGAGCATAGATTGGGTTTGAAATGCCATTCAGGTATAGCTGATTTGGGTTATTTCATTTCAGAAACTGCACTAACCTCCTGGTACTCATCTAGCAATAGCAGCTGTGCCTGATAGTACCAGCAAAGAGTGGGTGTTAAGTAATTGAGATAATGGTTACTTATTATGGCCTGCTCAGTCTGGGTGAAGTATGTCATCTTGTTGTCATCTCCTGAAAATACAAAGAGTAAAATAGGGAGTATTTCATGACAGTCTTTGTTAGTTTAACAAATCTATTTGTGTATTGGCAGAGGACAGGAAAGACTCAGATGTATGCTTGATTTGCCTTTAAAGCTGAGCAGCAAAAGGAAAGGGATTTTGCCTTTCTTCTGTGTAAAAGAGGGATTTAAAATATTTATAGCCTCTTCTCTGCCTAAATCGGAAATCTTCAGTTCTTCTGGCTAATGCGCTACCTAACGAAGCCTTGAAATGAAGTCACCCTGTTGTTAATTCAGCTTTGCAATGAATGCTGTTTCCAGCTGAGGAAATGAGAACTCATGGCTGTTTTGGTTTGGCTTACTGGCATGTGATTTGTCTTAAAGCAGGCAAAAGATCACCTGGCTTGGCTCTTTTCTTGCTGCTTTTTCTCTATCAATATGCAGTACCTCAGTTTATTTTAACAAATGCCTTCTTTTATAGACCCCAGAAGAACATGAGTTGGAGACAGGAATAAAATCAAAAGAAGCTCGGAAATACATATTCAACTGTTTGGATGATATGGCGCAGGTGTGTGGAGATCTTGCAACACACAAATATTTATCGTATTAATTACATAAGTTATTGGGATCTCTAAAAATGAATCTCCTGTGCTGGAGCAGTCCTCTTCCACGTGCTGTTGATAACACTGATGTAGGTTTGCCATGGTGCCAGTCTGCATCAGAAATCACTGTCTTAAAGACTATCGAAATGTTAATCATGAAACTGTTAGAAATTTCTTTGTTTTTCTTAGGCCTTGATCCGGTAGATGCAACAAGTGTGCTTAGCCTGTTATCACTAGAAGTAGTCGAGCAGTAGGAAAGCTAAGCCCCTCCAGATGTGTTTATAGGATTAGGCCTCTCACTGGACTTTGGAAATGTTGACAGGAACTACAGATAATTCTATTTTTTCATTCTATTTTTTCATTCTATTTTCATAGGTAAAATGAAGGAGATCTGAGTGTTTTTAATATCATGAGGCCTTGACTCTTAAATACATTGGTCTCAATTTTCTGTTGTTTTTGTAGCTGTTATCATCACTTTACATCTGTGCAGAGAATGTAGAATCTTGCCATTCTGATTTGCTAGCCCCTTAGAGCCCCACACAAAAAATGAGGGCGTATTGCCAGGCAGTGGAGAACGAAGCCTGGTTGATATCTATTGAACAGACCAACCTCATGTCGAGATGAGAATTCCATGTATAAGTTTGACTTCCTTTTATAGAATAAGCAAGGGAAGGATTGTGTGTTAGCGCTCTACTACCTAAAATTAAGCTGGCTAAGAGACAGAAATGCTTAATAAATATTCCTGCCTGATGTGAAATTACTGAATTGTTAGCAAGCAGTTAATTTGATGTTTGTGTGAAGTACTCTCATTTTATTTTCAAGGTGAATATGTCTACAGACTTAGAAGGGACTGACATGTTGGCAGAGAAGGCTGACCGAAGGGAATATATTGATTTGTTGAAGAAAATGTTGACAATTGATGCAGATAAGAGAATTACTCCACTGAAGACTTTGAACCATCCGTTTGTTACAATGGCACATCTACTGGATTTCCCACACAGTAATCAGTAGGCTTCCTTAGATTTCTTGTTTTGTTTCAGGAGGACTTACTGGAAGCACAGAATAACATTTTCCTGCTTTCTGTCAATGCTGTTTTCCGCAGTGTCTGACTTATCTGAAAACAGCAGTGGCGTTTATAAGGAATGGAATGTTCATAAGCTTCCTTTTCATGTTTTAGGACATTCTTTGTTGGTTTAAAAAAAACCCAAAAACCTAAACCTAAAGGCATGTGCATAAATTTGGGAATGTGTTGTGCCTCTGTTGTACTGGTTTTACATATCTGGTATTTTCTTTCTGTCATTCTGTTTCAGTGTGAAATCTTGCTTTCAGAATATGGAGATCTGCAAGCGAAGAGTTAATATGTATGATACAGTGAATCAGATTAAGAGCCCATTCACGACTCATGTTGCTCCTAATACAAGCACAAATCTGACCATGAGCTTTAACAACCAGCTCAATACAGTACACAATCAGGTATAGCATCTTTTAGCTCTTTTATACTAATCAGAGAAATGGGGAGTAGTCTAATTTTGTGCCTTCAGGCCAAATCCTGTTCTGCAAAATACTGTATTTAAATTGGTCTCCAGAGTTTGTAGTCGTCTTGAAATTTAATTTTCTGAAACTCAGGCCAAGGCAGTCTCTGTACTTCACCTAATCATATTTGCCTGTCAGTTCAGAAACGTACGTAAAGTTGGTGCAATTCATGTTTTTTCTCCCACGTTGTCTTATGCCTTTTCCCTGGAACCTTTTCCTGGTGTTTTCTTCATAGTATAATACTGATGGTTCCTGTTGTTTGTATTACAAAAAGTACGAGTGATAAATCTGATTTTTTTTTTTTTTTTGTAGGCCAGTGTATTGGCTTCCAATTCTACTGCTGCTGCTACTCTGTCCCTGGCAAACTCGGACGTCTCACTGCTAAACTATCAGTCTGCTCTGTATCCATCATCTGCAGCACCGGTTGCAGGAGTGGCACAACAGAGCGTTTCCTTGCAACCTGGAACCACCCAGATCTGCACACAGACTGACCCATTCCAGCAAACGTTCATTGTTTGTCCCCCTGCTTTTCAAAGTAAGCGGAAAAACCCTTTGTATGATACTGTGGTTTCAATTAGGTAGAAATGAGAAGTTGTAATTTGCACTAAATTGAGAAAGTACAGAAGATGACTCTGTGCGTGTCATACGGTGCTCTTGCATCAGATGTAAGTGCGGAATCAGGTCAGACATGTGTGGACAATTTGGTTCTTTTCCAGGTCATGCTTGAACAGGTGACAGTATCTTGCCTGCCTAGGTTGCGGTCTTCATCTGGTTGCTCAACCAGTTTTTCCCCTCAAACTGAACACAACAGCATTCCACAGAAAGCAGTGAACAGAGCAGCCAGACCTATCTGAAAATAAGAAAGTATCATGCTGTGTTTTCTCTGTCAGGACTGAATATCTGGCCTTTGAGTCTCCGTTCACAAGCACTGATGCAGCTGTGTAGTTTGCTAGCAACAAATTGTCACAGACTGCAAATAAGTGAGATTAGCACCAGCATAGCTTTATTAATCCTGAAAGTTCTCTATTTATGCTTCGATCTCGATTGTGTTAGTATGAAGGGTTATATATGAAATGGGAACTGATAGTGTAAGGTTTGAACTTCGAACTTAGTCTCAAGCAACATGGAATTACATGTCTGTGTTTTGGAAAACCAGACTATGGACTTCAACAGAGCCAAGGTTTTGAGGACTGCTTGTCCATCATTCCCTTTGGCATACCAGGACTGCAGAAGCATTTACTTCAGCTGGTGTTTTATTAGTATGCTTTTGTCAAAGGGAACAGCTTTTCGTTCTTTTCACCTGACCCTGTCTTCTGCCCTTACCTGGTAGGAATTTGATATTGGAAAGAAACTTCAAAAAAAAAAAAAGGCAGCTTAGCAGTGATGTATTTTTGTCCTCCACAGCCGGACTTCAGGCAACTACAAAGCATTCTGGGTTCCCAGTAAGGATGGAGAATGCTGTCCCAATTGTACCACAAGCACCTGCAGCACAGCCACTGCAGATCCAGTCTGGAGTTCTCACACAGGTAAAAAAAAAAACCACAAAAAACCCCATAGAGTTAACGGCAATTCCTGCTACCACCATCCAGGAGAACCTGACTGCCCCTCTGGTGCTGGGGTGAATGCAGGGGGCTCTTGGAACACTCTGAAAGGTTAAATGCAGATCACTTCTAAGACAGTGTTTTCTTGTTTTGTTTTTTTTCTGGAATATTTAAAATTAAACTATTTTATGTCCTGTGCCTCCCTGGTTTTAGGCATTTGATTTAAGAATGGGAATAAATACATAGTTTTCAGCTGCTAAAAACAGACTGTATTTTTTCACGAGTGTACACTGCCTTATAGGTAGTGGTGCATGTTTTTGCCTACACTTTAAAAATGTGGCAGGAAATTTTAGAAGAAATCATTTCTGTGAGAAGTGAGATCCCAGTAAACAGAAGTGGCAACACAGATTATCAGATTACTCATGTTAAAATTTTGTCTTTAAACAAAATTATTTCTGAATCCTCAATTAGTTATATTGCTAGTGTGAGTTGATGTGTAGCGATGACGTACCCATTTCTGTTTGCAGTTTAAACAATATGCGATAGCAAAATTCACAAATAACTCTAAAAAATTGATATTTTAAACATCAGTAATGTGTCATAAATTAAAACAATTTTTATTTCCAAAAAGTAATGCTTTAATACATAGCGAGCACCCAGTGATTCACAGGTTTTATTCACTGAAAAATTGTAATTGCCTTTGTAACTAAGTGCATTTTTGTTTATTTGCATAGTTTTAGTTTCTGCTGGCATTAACAAATACTTTATTAGTTTTATTCTCCAGGCAGTATATTGTACTTACTGACCCACTTGCAGAGTAATTTTAGGTTGTTCAGTCCAAATAATTTTGGTGGTGTTCTGTGATCTCTGGTTTGTTTAGCAGAGTTATACAGGTAACAGTATCCAAAAAGCAGAATACACTTGAAGGGGGCCCACCTGAATCCAAACCCTGCTTTTCCTCAGAGTGCAAATTGTACGCTAAGAATCTAGTTTTAATTAGGCATTTGATGGACTAATATGTGTCTTTGTAGTTTCCTCACAGATAACTTTGCTTTTTCACGATACAAAAGACCTACCGTGCCTTCTATTAAATCCCTTAGTTTATCTCTTTCCAAGAGTACTGTACGTGAATATGGAGGTACGATAGGAAATGCTGTGTCCTGCAAGGGGTGCAGTTCGTGCTATGGTTAGTGCAGTGTATGTAGTGTAACTTGCTCTTTGGGACCCAGTAAAGTATCGATAGCTGAACACTATCTCACTTTAACTGTGTCATCGGAGAGATCCTGTTCCCAAATTCCCCTTTCCTTGTGTTCCCCTCAGGGACATGTAATGTTTAGAGGAACATGCCCGGAGGGTCTGGGTGTTGGTTTCACTGCATCCATTACAATTCTGGAGTCTGCTCAAGCACCATAGAATGCCAGCGAGGTGAAACCTTTCCTGGCCCTGTTGCTGAACCCACTTATCCTGCCTCAGTACGTGTGTTTCACTCACTGCCTGATCTACATTTCAGGGAAGCTGTACACCACTAATGGTAGCAACTCTTCATCCTCAAGTAGCCACCATCACGCCGCAGTATGCGGTCCCCTTTACTCTGAACTGCGCAGCCGGCCGGCCAGCGCTAGTAGAACAGACGGCTGCAGTACTGGTAATTGCCTCCCTTGATTGTGTTCACTAACTGAGTTTTTGTTTTAACTTAGACTTGCAGAGGGCATGGAAGCATGTGCCATCTTGTGGCTGTGTTCTTGCTACATCTTAATGTCTTGTTGTTTTCCTCCCCAACATTGCTGAAGCACTGTCTGACTCTGACGTTTAGTGTGGCTCTGTAAAGAATCCAGATCCATTGACTATTACTTTTTACTAGCCTAGTATTATAAAGCTCTTCTAAGCTATACTATAGAAGAGTTATAATTGTTCTTGTTCTTCGCTTACTATCCTATCTTTGCCTTTTGATTGTTGAATACAAAGGAATCAGTCTTTAGCTTGACTCTGCTACAGGTACCTGGATGGCCAGAATTTGAACTACTTGGCAAGTTAGCTACTTATTTTGTTTTCAACATGTGTAAAGCTGCTTTGCATGTAGAAATGCTTCAGGTCATTAAGCACAGGCTAAAATCTCTAATGATAGCGAATTCTTTAATGTATTGCTTTAGCAGTTGATTTCTCTTAACCTCTGTTGAACATTGACAATAATTTTCTGGCCTTTTGTTATTTATAGCCAATCGCAGGTAGCTTGCTTCATCCAGATAAAGATACTGTTCTTCACAGATACTTTCAGTTCATATGTATTTCTTGGTTGAAATTAAAGGTGAGCTCTAATATCCAAAACGGCAATAGCTAGCTTTTAGGCTATTTGGAACAATTTATAAAAAAGAATGGGGGAATGGAATAAACGCACCTTTAAGAAGCGTATGCTTTCAAAATTGTCCTCTTCTGTATTCATTTGGCACCTGCGTCAGTGCCACAAAGAAGTCATTGTAAAACTCCAGAATCAGATCAGTGAAGCTTATGAAAACGTTGCAGTGCACTTAAGTGCTGGTATCCTCACATGTCTTTCAAAGCACATTCCATTATGTGAACCATGTTGTTTCTTGTGGCTTTAAAGTGGTAGTTTGAGTGTCATTTTCTTCCAAGAGGGAGCCCTCTGCTGAAGTGGAATTTGCTCGAGTCATACCTGTACTGAAATGAAAGCCCACTTATTTGGGTTCTTCTGAACCAAGTTAACTGCTCCCTCTTTCTGAGGACGGGAAGGCAGGAGAGCGGGGTTCTCCTGGCTCACAGCCCTGAGCTAAACAGACCCAGGGATGCATCTCCTTTCCTCCTCTTGAATTTTGATTGCTGAAAGGCTGCAATCTAGGCTCTGAAAACGGCAAGGGGTGACTGTAGCAGAGCTTGGGACACAAGTGAGTTGCTAGTGATGTTTTCAAAAGTGTCTTTGGGCTTTTGATTCAACAGGCAAATTCTATTCTTCTCTGTGTGTGTGCGTGCAGTGGACTTGACATTCAACTCCCCTGTACAGCAGTGGAGATCAGAGCCAGCTGTCTCCAGACTATGAGCCTGGATTCTGAGTTTCTCTGGAGGACTTACTGTTTCTGTTTGGATTCTGGGAGCCTTTGGCGTGAATTTGCTCACCTTTAGTGCTTCCGACACTTCTCCCTTGCTGCTTCCCTGAGTTTGCGTTAGCCATTTGCTAAGCTTTGCGTATTTTTGTCCTTCCTCTGTCAAAACAGTTCGTCGCTTGGAAGGCCCGATTTCTGCCTCTCATTGGGAATTTATATCTTGCTGTATTAAACTCTCTGCTTTGTCTTGTGCAGGTGTTGGCTTTTGGAAAGACGCATGGTGTGACTTTTAACATATTTCTCCTTTTTTTTTTTTTTTCAATATTATTATTCTGCTTATGTTGGCAGAGGTTTTAGCAGCTCTCTGCTTTGAAGCCTTCTTGTTTGGAACCGATATTTGTAATAAGTGGATCTGTTACTTGCAGAAATATTTTATTTAAAACAGCAGGTGTTTCTGGGTTTGCAGTTTAAATTGCAAGAAAGAGAGCCATATACTTTCAAAATCATAGAAATATTGTACTGCCAAATTTATTTTGGTTTTTGTTCGAGGTTTTTTTTCCAGAAAAAAACCTGCATGTTGTCAATTTGGACAGAAACATTAATATTAATGAATTTAAAATATCTTCACATATCTCCCTTGTAACTAAATGTTTCTCTCAGTGTGGCTTTTCATAAATACTTTAGTTGAGGTGGGGTGAATTTCTACAATAACAACACTGTCTCAGCTCTCTGTGTGAGCCCTGTGGGGCAGAAAAACAGAAAGGACCAAATTGGCTTTATATTTTGGAATCCTTCAGTAGAGCAATGTGCGTAAACTCACATGCAGAAACAGTCCTGAACACTCACGCTGCATCTGGCAGTACAATATCTGGCTGCATTCTGCAGTACAATGTTAACACTCTTTTCCCCAGGTGACATCAGTGACACAAAAGGTTAGCAAAGTGTCAGGGGAAGCTCGTTTCTCTGGTTTTCTTGTTCTCTTACCGTACTGAGACGTTTTGAGAAAGTGCAAAATGATGTGCCGTTATCTCTGCAAGCTAACAATCTACACGAGTGCGTTTATTGCTTGGAACAAATCTCTCTCTCTCCACCTGTAGGAAGTGAAATCTAGCAAACCTGTGTATCTGTTTGTTGTTTTGCAGCAGGCCTGGCCTGGGGGAACCCAGCAGATACTGCTTCCTTCCACCTGGCAGCAGCTCCCAGGGGTTGCTTTGCACAACTCTGTTCAGCCAGCGGCTGTGATTCCGGAGACGATCGGCGGCAGCCAGCAATTAACTGACTGGAGGTAGGGATACCACAAGGTCTAACTCCGTGCTGAATGGAAATACGTGCCATGGCAGTACTGCCTGCAATGCACAAAATTTCTCCCTTCCCTGCAGAGTCACGCAGGGGCTCGGTGCAGCTTGCGGTTCCTGCAGTGCAGTCATGGGATTTCGGTCTTTTTTTTTTTTTTTTCTCTGCCCCAGGAATGCACATTCCCATGGAAATCAGTATAGCACTCTCATGCAACAGCCATCACTACTGACCAACCACGTGACATTAGCTACAGCGCAGCCTCTGAATGTTGGAGTTGCTCATGTTGTTAGGCAGCAGCAAAGCAGCAACGTTCCAGCAAAGAAGAACAAGCAGCCAGCACCAAGCACAGCCAAGTAAGGTTTCCTTTCCCAGCCCTAGAAAGACTGTGGGTGTGTTTGTCGAGGTTGCCTTTACGGTGTGAAAAACTGGTCTTCTGGTCACAGAGGCGTTGTCGTGTAACTTTTTAGTGTGCTACAGTTGCTTTTAAATGTGTCTTGGAAAAAGTCTCTGTGCTGTAGTCACTGATATAGGTGCTATTAATTTCAGTGAGATTGCAAGGAACGTGGCTGACCAAGTGCTTTACTGCACTGGTCACGGGGGGGGGAGGGTTTACACACTTGGGGTGTGTTGGTGCCCTAGCAGTACAAGTGACAGAACTGACATCTGTCGAACCAGGTGGCAGGCTTCTGGCCGTGTTCAGATGACTCAGTCCTGTTCCGAGCATCCCTGAGTGGGCTGGTCCCTTCTGGGATGTGTTCTGTGGCGCTGTCCTGTATGAGTGTCTGCACTGACGTTCTCTTTGTGTATTTCAAGATGTTTCTTCTCGTATGTGTGCTCCAGCCTGCAGGAGCCTGGCTGTTCTTAGTGCTGGAGCTGGTTTGTCCCAGCCTACTGACACATTGCTGAATACTGCTTTGGTTTTCCTTCAGGCCCAGCTCGACTCTAGAGACTGTGCCCTCCCAGGTTTACTCGCTCATTGGGAGCAGCCCTCTGCGCTCCACCTCCTCCTCTTCCAACGTGCTCGTCCCAGTGCAGGAGCAGCACCAGCCCATTGTCATCCCAGACACTCCAAGCCCACCCGTCAGTGTCATCACCATTCGCAGCGACACTGATGAGGAAGAGGACAGCAAATACAAACCTGCCAGGTAAGAAGTTCATTTAGGTGGCCAGTACCGATTTTGTCCTGAGCTCAGCCCAAGCATAAAGGAGAGTGGAGAGCGCTACGTGCAAAGCCCTGCCTTGGCTAAGAAGCACTGCATAAGACAGAAAATCCTGCATCATGGCCGTGGTGGTGTTTGTGTCTAGTTAATCAGAATTCCATCTGACAAGGAGGGAGGGTATGGGATCCCAGAGGGAGATCTCCTCTATCTTGTGGTAAAAGCTGGAATGTATCCCCTTTGTTTGTTTGTTTTTCCCCTGCAGTTTGGGTATGAAGCAGAGATCCAATGTCATCAGCTACGTTACTGTTAATGACTCCCCTGATTCCGACTCCTCCCTGAACAGCCCCTATGCCACAGACCCACTTTCGTCTCTCAGGAGTACAGGCGGCGCCCTGGAGCTGCCGAGTAGAGGAGCGGCTGACAGCTCCAGCTCTCGGACGATCATTGTGCCGCCACTGAAAACACAGCTCAATGACTGCATTGTAGCTACCCAAGCTTCAGGTAGGTATGCTCTCCTAGGTTACTGTGCTCAGCAGTTTTTGCCAAGGCTCAGATGCTGTCTTACCCCTGGGCAGCTTTGCCCTCACAGTTTTGGACTATCAGCATTGGGTCTTCATAGCTTTAGGTTTCACAGCTGCTGTTCTGAGAGTGCAAGCCTTGGTCTGTTTTCAGTTTCACTGATAGATTTACCTTTCATATATGTATGGCTACATTTAGAAAGACCTGTAAAAGTTCCCCAATGATTTCTTGTACAGTCAGATTTTAAATCGTAATTGAAGAAAAGGCTCTGTTATGGAAATAGTCCCTGTGGGTTCTTTGCTTACCTAAGCTGGTTATCACAGTGCATGGCGTGTGAAAGGGAAGAATGGACTGATGTTCTGAAATCTTTCAGGCACCCTGAGCAGCACCAGTAAGACCAAGCCAGTGGCCTCTGTGAGTGGACAGTCGTCAGGATGCTGTATAACACCTACAGGGTACCGCTCACATCGCGTGGTAACAAATGGTGTGCAGCCTCTCAATCTCAGCCAGGTGAGCACTGTGGGACTTTTGCTGACCTCTGAACGTGATGCTTTAGAATTGCTTTAGAAACGCTATGCTGTGTGGCAGGGAGAATGACCTGGTTGCAAGAGGATCGATAGCTGCTACCTCATTAATTTTTTGAAGCTGATTCTGTCCCGTGCCTCTGCAGGGTAGGGTAAACTCTGTAGGGAGTATAGGTGAAGTTTCTCAGGAGAAAGAATTTGTTGCTGTACCAGAGGGCAGGAGAAGGAAGCACAGTTACATCCGTATTCTTTCTTCGTGCTCCTGGTCACACCTGTCTTGCAGTGGCTCATTCCTGCCGCTCATGGGGGAGTGACACGAGGATCCAGCTCATGAATTAGAGTAGCATTGAAGTCACTCGGCAGTATGAGAAGAGATTCTTTTGTTCTTTACCTAGATCTGTACATCTCACAAAGTCCCGACCAGGAGATTAAGGCTGGACCTTGTCTCTCAAACTAGCAATTAGCACCTGACTTCCCTTGAAACTTTTAGAGATTGGTTTCACTTCAATTTGTGTCACTACTCTTGATGTTTGAGTCAAGCTGCAGTAGCCCTTCAGAAGACAGGAAGTGTTACACCTCCAGTTCGTTCCTGGCATGGGGACAAGACAGGCTTTGTTGTGCTAAAATGGGGCAGCCCTGCTGCCACTCTCACTGAGGTGCAGAAGAATAAATGTGTGAGGAGCTCAGGGGCTGGGTCAGTCTTAGGGCCTGGCTGCCCTTGTACAGCTGTGTACTGTGGCACCCCAGGAGTGGTCGTTTGATCCCATTGTAGAGGAAAAGTGTAACCTTTGTCTCGGTGCAACTGCAGAAACCCTTCTCAAATTTATGTGGGGGCTTCGCAGAGCTGGGAAGGGAGGATCAGTCCTGCAGCCTGAACGGAGGTGTTGGTCGGGAGGCTCTGGCTGACCCTTCCTTGCTCACCTCCTGTCCGCTGCACCTTTCCCCGAGGATAGCCGCTAACCGTACGTACTTCTTCTCCCTGCAGAACCAGCAAACAACAGTGCTGGCCTCACAGGAGAGAAGTGGAAATGCTGTCCCACGTAGGCAGCAGGCTTATGTGGCACCCCTCACGTCAACTGTTTCTCAGGCTCCCTCCACGTTTCAGCACAGCAGCCCAGTGCATCCCCACCTGGCAGCAGCAACGGCAAACGCACACCTCTCCAGCCAGCCGCATATGTACACTTACGCTCCAACCACTGCTGCAACGCTGGGCTCCACCACCTCCATCGCCCACCTCTTCTCCCCTCAGGGCTCTTCGCGGCACACCACGTACGCTGCCCACCCTAGCACACTTGTCCACCAGGTCCCTGTGAGTGTTGGTCCGAGTCTGCTGACTTCTGCAAATGTTCCACCTGCCCAGTACCAACATCAGTTTGCTCCCCAGTCCTATATTGGTGCTTCCAGAGGATCTGCTATTTACACTGGATATCCGCTGAGCCCTACAAAGATCAACCAGTACTCGTACTTGTAGTTCCTGGGAAAGCACTGTCCTGTAATAGGCCTGAGAGATTGGAGAAGGATTTCAGGTGAACCTTTACCTGGTAATGACTGCCTGGTTTTTGTTTCTCCTTCATCTGGTTGTATGTTGTTCAAAAATGTCTCTAGTGAGTTCAGTCACTAACTGAGCAGCATGCTTTGTTACCAGTACGAGGGTCACTAATTCAGTTTTTAAAATTCTACTTACTTTTTATAGAGGCTTTTAAAAAGTTCATGGTCACATTTATTTAAAATTGTTCTGTTGTGCTAATCAAAAGAGGAAAGAAAACCAGTTTCTTGGAAGACAGATCCTGATGACTTTTTTAACTTGTGTAACTTAAACAAAAAGACTAGCAGATTATATTTTAGCAGCTTGCACAAATCCATGTCGCCACTAAAAATGTAATGCACGTTTATCTCATTATGTTGCTGGGGCAGTTTTAAAATGAAGTTTAATATTTTAACATTTGTTTCTCTAATTCACTTTGTCTCTAACAAATTGCTGGTTGTGCAAAAGCCATTACATCTCCACATATGTTACTGTCAGTTTTTTTGTTGACTGCTCTGTTTAAGGACTGGTAGAGGCAGCTGCCTCGTACTGGCAACATTCTATATTCGGGAGTCTGTGTAAACCCTGAAATCTGTTTTGTTTTCTCAAAAATTCTGTGTCTCCATAACCCAGGCGAATTTTTATTGCATTCATTGCAGAATTTTTCTCAGTTTTCCAAACTATATTCAAGATCTCACTGCGTAACAAAACTCAACAGCTTTGCCAGGATGCTGTAGTCTTCAGTTGGGAATGAGTAAGTGCAACATTGCTCTAAAATTTGGTTTCTGCCGCATATTAGATGCTGGCCCTATAATGGAGCTGGATTCCTTCACAGAAGCACAGGGCTTTTCTTTGTTCTGTTTTTCTTAATATTTTTCCTCACACGATTCATTTAGGAGGGAGTTGAATTTGAAATACAATGAAACATCACTGTATTGATGTGTACAGCTTTTTATACTCCTGTGAGCGTATCCTCCTGGATATGTCAACAGCTACTTTAAAGCGCTCTTAATAAGACTTGTATACAGTACATGCATGTAGGAATCAAAAAAAAAAGAGAGAAAGAAAAAGAAAAAAGGAAAAAAAATCCAGATTTTAAAGTTTATTACTGAATTTAAAACTATTTTAGAAGTTTTGTATTGGTGGTGTTTTAATATTTTACATAAAATGAAATATGTACATATTGATTAGAAAAATATAACAAGCAAAACTTCCTGCTAACCCCAAATGTTCTGTCTTTGTAATCAAAATGTGTAGTGATTATACTTGAACTCTGTACTTAGTGTTCGTCTAATTCTTAAACGTTCCTGGGGATGGAATTGATGTATCCTTTGTATTTAAACCAAAATGAATTGATTCATGTTGGAATGTATGTGATATAATGCAATGGTTAGAGCTCATCACTGTAGCACTGAGAGAGGAGTAGAGCTTCATGAGAGGAAAGGATACCTTCTGATTTGTTTTGCACAGGTATGTGTGATGAAGAGTTGTTTGGTGTGTCCCCTTATTGTAGTGCCTTAAATGATGATGTAGTGTGACTAGAGTTTACAGTGAGCTTGCCTTATGAGGGACCAGCAAGCCCCCGTCGAATTGAAGCAATCCACTAAGCTTATCACAGCAAGAACAGTATGTTGCATAGGTGCATTGTTCTCAGTTTTAATGCTATCATAAAAAGCTATGTTTTTGTTTGGAGTGAAGCGATGTTTCCTTAAAGCTTTTCCTTGAAATGGCACATGTACTGTTAGATGTCTGTCAGTGCATTTCGAATAAGGTAGTGCTGGGAATGCATTGGAATGTTTAGTCTAATATTGCAGAAGTGATTAAATATGTGCAATCACTTTTTATTAGATTAGTGTGGTGTTACCTTCCCCCACGTTAATAGCAGACATTTCTTGTAAAATATTGCTAGCTTGGTGATAGAATATTTATACCAAAGAGAGCCTGCTGTAAAGCACATAATACCATTAAAAAGTTTTATAATGCTACTGCTAATGTGGAGTTGTTGGGAAGGTTTGTCAGCTGTAGCCCTAGTTAGTGTTCAGAGGAAATACTCATTTTGGATAATCAGTGCAGTTTTTAAACTACACGTTACTTTCTTGGGTCCCTTGTACTAGGAATTACTTCTCATCTTCAGTACGTAGATTAAGCATCTTGTCCAAGCGGACGATAAACTGGCTTGAGCGGTCGTATTACTGCAGCAATAAGAGGTTTTGGTAACCTTGAATTCCAGTTTATGTTCCGTCCCGGTGGAAAAGAGGCCAGTTCTCTGACCGGTATATGATGAGAAGTGCAAAAGTCATTTCTGAAATTCCACATTATTGATAGAAGAAAGTCTGGACTGACCTGAAATGGATGAACTGTTAAAGCTTTGGCATCTACTTTCGATAGAGGGATCAAGGACTTTGAAACTGGACGGTAGCATTAGTGACGTTGTTGTTCAGTGTATTTTTAGTCAGCACTTCTGTAAGTGTGCGATAACCAGCCGATCTTGCTATGCCACATTGTTGGTGTAAACGATGCTGTATGTTGCTGTAGGCACTTTCTTACTTTTTTCCATATTACATTGCTTGTGTTCAGTACTTGCCTTGAGATACCTCTTGGGTACAGAGTTGTGCCTTTCCATCGAAAGGCAAAACAAGCTCCAATTCGTGTGTTTCAGGGAAACTTTATTCCCTGTTTCACAAATAGTAAAGTGTTTTCCATGCAGTCCTAACAGGAAAAGAAAGACCTCTAGCAAAATCTGCTAATAATTTTGAGAAGAACTTGCCCACTTCCCACCAGAAAAGCAGATTAAAATGACCATTTATCTTTAGCGTCCTTATTACATAATTAAACCCAATCAAATGTGTTCACAAAGAGTGGTGTCATCTCTTCCAAGTTTCCAAAAGTATTGAAACGAGGAGGACAAGATGGAAATGACATAGGTAAAATGAAACGTACTCCATTTAAAACAAGTTGTCGATTACCCTAGAATTCCTCTGTGACACACAGCATAAACCAAGCAAACAAAACCCCCACCGCAGCAGGGCCAGATTTTCATCTCGGTGCTGGCTTCACAAGCGTGGCAGATCCCAGTTTGGTCCCAGTATGTGTCGCCCAGTTTAAGCATTGTAGTCTGCTCTAAGGAGATACATCCCTTCTTCCCATGCATATCCAGCCTTCAAATTAGATTAAAGAATTGACTCTCCTCGCCGTCAGAGCCGCTACACATATTTTGTAAAGAAATGTGCTATCTCTGGATAGAAATTGGAGTCCTTTAGGTTTTTTTAAAAACTAGTTTGGGATTCACCTTCTGAATATTCGCTAACCGTGGTCCCATCTAGACTTGTCTGTGTGATTCTTGAACTGCTAAATCAGTTCTTCCTATTACCTGCCCTGTGTTCGCAGCTGTGATAGCCACCGCAGAGCAACTGCTGAGGCTTTCCTGCTTAGCACCTAGTTGATGGGATGCAGTAATTTACCTCTGACTCAGCAATTTCTTTTTAGGACATGAAACTAAATTGCTTCTAAATGACAGGATTGGCACAGCCCTGCTTTCTTTTTTATTTAAACTTCTGAATGGTGCCGCATGTCCACATGGTTGTTTGTTGCTAAACTTTATATAATGTGTGATTTCAGATTCAGCTTGAAATATATCTATCTCACTACATGTAGCAGTACATTATATGTAATGTTAGTATTTCTGCTTGAATCCTTGATATTGCAATGGAATTCCTACTTTATTAAATGTATTTGATATGCTAGTTACTGTGTAAAATCTAACTTTCTTTTATGGTTGTGCTCTTCCTTTTTACAAGCCGCTAGATACAGGTAGTTTCTGACAATTACTGATTTTATGTTTGTATTGCTGATGTACTTAGGGGGTATGTAAAAATCATTTTAACAAAAGAAATAGATATTTAAAAATTTAATACTAACTATATGGGAAAAGGGTCCATTGTGAAAACATAGTTTATCTTTGGATTCAATGTTTGTCTTTGGTTTTACAAAGTAGCTTGTATTTTAAGTATTTTCTACATAATATGGTAAAAATGTAGAACAATTGCAATGCATCAATAAAAAGGGTTAATTTTCTGTACTCTATTACTTTGGTCACTTGATCTATTAAAGGGTCTGGAAAGGGGGTTTGGGCATATCCAGGATAAAATATCAACGCTGTTAACCGCTTGCTGCTGACCCCGTGGTGCAGCCATGCATCCAGGGGTAGTGTGCGACGCGAGATCCTTGGCAAGCTGGATTCAGAGCGAAGGCAGCGTGTG